TGTCGTCAGTGTCACGACAGCGTGGTGCGAGGACCTCCGACGCCGATATGCACCACGGTTCATTACAGCAGCTGCATTACCCGTATATACGCGACGCGTCATTACTTTTATTAGCATAATGACAGGCGAACAACTCAATTTGCATGGAAAATCACACAGGTCCGTAACGAAGTTCGCCCGCGGATCCTTGATCGTCCTTCTACCCCGTCTACGCGCGTAATAAACCTCCTCGTACGCTCGCGTATCACACATGCGCGAGTAAATGTCTACCGATGTCCATGTGCCCGGAGAAACATTGTTAAAAACATTGGGGAGTGCGAAAGAGAGAGGTTGTTCGAGTCGAAAGTAGCCGGCTACCTTCTTCATTTTCGAGATCCGCTGATCCCTTCGCGCTGGATAATTCCGTATCATCATCGAAATTGCTGTCGATCGTCATCTACCTCGTCGTCGATCATCGTCCTCGTCCTCGTCCACCGGTTGATTGAGAGTCGACGGGTCCATTCGATAATTGGCCACGGTAATGAGGCCACGGATTACTTGGTAATCGTTCTGTGGCCTCCTCCGGAAAGAAAAAGGACGAGAACTTTACCGTTAACAGCATCGATCTTTAATTTTCTCCGACAATCCGGTGATGAGTCGCTCGAGCGTCACTTTAAGCGAAGATAAGATCCACTCGAAGAGCCCTCTAAAATAATCCTACTTGCCCTAGTAAACTGTGAAAACATTTCTGTGTTATGAGAACCTTCACGACAACCTGTTCACGAATTTCAGAACCGTTCGAGTTTTATTCTGAAGTCCAATTAACGGAGAAAACGAGGTATAATTTTCCGAGAAAACGTCGAAAGTTGTCGTATAAGTAGAGCGAATAAATTAGTAGCGAAATTCGACGTTGGAAGCGAAATGACGAAAAACCGTAGCGCTACGTGTAAAGCGTTGTTCGACATCGTGTTTACACGAAATTACCCAGGAATTAACGTCAGGGCGGCGTTCAGGTTGGCCGAAAACACGTGAATCGAGAGTAACTGGCGACCAGCGGCGTCGATTTGCTTTATGATTCGATGCTTATCGCTAATAACAAAGATCTCGCTTATCCGACCCATCGGAGCTCGGTATTTTGCACCGTCCAAGGCTGATCCCCGCGTCGGCGAGAATGCGCGCGAATCGCTTCAGGATCCTAATTTCAGCGGCGGCGCTTATTAAGGCATCGCAATCTCTGCCCAGATACCGATCTTGCGAGACATTATGTAAATAGAGCGGAATCGGGCTAAGAGAAACAGAGTAGTCGGAGAAAAAGAAGCGCAAGAAGCGGGGCAGATGTTGCACGTCGAATGCAAGCCACGAATTATCGCGATTGGCTTCGTCGCACCTTTTCAACAATAATTTGCTATTCGTTCTTTTATCGCGTTAGAATACATTCCGTATAACAATATGTTCGGGACAGGATGATCTACACTACCCGTATGCGTTTAGTGCAAATTACTATTATACTTTCAGCTTGTACACTAACGAGCATGTGTCGACTTACTTTACAATTTGAATATATCATATTTTCTGAACAGTGTTCGGAAAACATTAATGTCTGTGAAATCGATGGTCTTAATACAGAATTTTTAAAAATCAGGAAACTGGTCCCAGAATGTTTGCGAAGCAAGATTTAAGGGGTTCATCGAACCTTCTTCGCCGAAATCGATCGATCTGGTGGGCACGCAGTGACGTCGAATGATCAGTTTCGAGCTTCTGATTCTAACACGGGACGCCGTAAAAATGCATTACCGCAACACGCTCACGGGCCCGATACGGATCTCCCGCGAAATATTATGTAAATAGGGGCATGCGTTAAACGGGGACGATCTAGAAAGAGCGTAGCCCAGGGTGAGCCGCGTATCAGCGCGAGCGGATGCCGGATGCCTGAATAAAAAGTGCATAAAGTAACATTTAGCGCGCGCTTAAACGAAATTGCTGTAATCCTGCGGATAGCACGGCGGTCGAAAGACGTAGAATGTGCGTACGAGGGTGTGGGAGGGTGGAAGCAGTGCATTAACATAGCGATTTACATAATGCGTATAATTCAAGTAATTATGAAGGGAAATATACACAATTTAATATAATGGTGGATGTTTAGGGACCGGCGCTATATCTGCCGCGGAAGATCTCTCTGAGCGTGCAACTGGACCCCATTTCGTTACCCTCTTGCATATGTATAGATCGATGACCATTCAAGACGCTACCGATGGACGCAGCTGCGAACGTCCATCGTATCAACATTGTCGTTGTTAGTAATAGCTTACGGAACGACGAAAATAAGGGGTGCGTTCCGCTTCGTAAGCGTAAGATGGATGTTTGATAATCTGGACTTGTTTAATGTTGCTGCATGGTCAAGATGAATCCGAATTGTTCCGAGGGAATTACAATAATTTTGAATTGCAACAAGACGAGTGAAAACGATCGAGTTTACGGAAGGAAAACGACTCGGATATATCGGACAAGGTGTTCGAGCAATCTCATCCTCGGCAAGTAAATTACCCGAATCTGAGCTAAGAGGGTTCCCCGAAAAGTGGCCCATTGCCGAGTTAATGACGAAGTATCTTCGCGCCTCCCTTCTACCTGCCAGACGTTGATTGATACAACCGACTGTTCTAGCGTATTTTAATTTATGTTTTCACGCGCGTAACGTGGATTTCCCTCTATCTTAAACCCGCCCCTTTCGCGCCTCCGTTTCAATCTCCTACAATTTCTGCTAAATCATTTTTACAAAAAAAAAATGTTACCGCCCGGATAGAATAATCGGTATAGTTCTCTCGTTAGTGTTCGCGTGCGGAACATTCAGAATTTCGCTGGAAATTGAACAGCGTGTTTCGTGTTTGGAAAGTTTCGATTGTATTGGCGAAATGGCAGACCCCACGCGAAGCTCTCTAACGAGATAATGGTTGTTTATCAGCGCTGGTACGCGGTCTCTCTCCAATTAGCGGTACAGCCAGAGCTAATTGCTCGATATAAATCGCCGCGACTTAAAAAACCGCGGTCGAATAATTAGACGGTGCAGCGCAGGTGCGGGCTGCAGGTTTATTATGCTCGCGTCTCTCGACGTTTAGTTGATTGCCAACTGTATTATTACGGAGACACGTCTCCACGATCCACGCGTATAATGAGATAGGGGACCGTTCTTTTCTTGTGTGCATGCGAAAGCGAAGCGATTACACCGTTTCATGCTAATAGAGCCTATTAGGGGGTTCACCGTTCGCATGACAATCCCTGCAGCCGCAATCTAAATGTCAATCTCCATAGAGAAACTCGCGACTATCATGACTTTTATCGATTCTGTTGCAACGGTGTACCGTTTCGTCGGTGAAAACCGATCTCTGCCTTCGGATCGATCGTTGTCGTCGATATCGAGCAACTTTGTACATTTACAGCGACTGTATCGACTTTCCTTTTAGCTGCTCGGATTTTGTTACGTGTAGCAGAAATATTCAGACGATCATTTTTATAATAACAGAACGCTCTGCTTTTGAGAAACGAATAAATCGTGAAGTGTCTCGTGACATAATGATTTGATTTTTTGAGTAAAAGAATGATCGTGACGAAACGCGTTAGGGCGAGCAAACGAACGAACCGGATGATCGAAGGAGAGTGTGCGAGGTTCACCGTAAGGAGGTCCGCTCGAGTCGCGTATCTCAAGATCTATCTGAATAATAACGTGTACGACAACATGTCAAATTATTCAGAACCGCGACGCACGCAGGCGTACGCTAGCAGAAACGTGCGAGTACACGATGGTGGCGATCCGATGAACGGGGGGCGTCGCGTCGCGTCGAGCGTCGGTACGCGCGTTCGTGCGTGCGTACGTTCGTGCGTGTCGCGCGTTCGCTCCCATGTCGGCGTCGAAGAACGCAAACCGAGGGTAGCAGGGGGTAGCACTAACCCGACATGTGTTCGCGGTGACGGTGGCTCTATACAGCAGTTTTATAATTGCTGGACAGGATATCGTGTCGCTCGTTCGACAAGATTCGTAAAACGCGTTTTCGCTTCGAATGCTCCTCGCGATTCGCCTCTTGATAACATGATCGAGAAGCTTGTAATATCGACACCCTCTGTACTTAACGAGAGGATAACAGCGTAGAAAATAACGTAATTACAGTTTCGCTATTCCGGAAATAACAAGAACACGCTTAAATCGGTACTAATCCGCGCTCGCATAAAATTCCTAATTACCGCACTCGCGTTATTAGACAACGAATCGATCGGATCCCGTTCCAACGGTACCCTCGCGTACGTATCTTATCGTGCAACACTCTTTTCGTTCAACACATTGAAAAGAAAATTACCGATAATTGCTCTTCTAACGTATCGTGATTACACGAAACAGAATAAGGGAGTTATACAGTGGCCATGTTTAGGGTGGCGGGTAGGAAATTATCGTGCTAGCCGGCAGCGTCCCTGAACTTTTGCCGAAGTCGGCCGAGTGACAATTAAATCACAGGTGCCGGTTGATCATGACGGATCGAGGAACGGTCTCGTGCTCGCCGTTGCACGTTCCTCGATTCTACTTTGCCTTGGAAATTCTCTCCAATGATTTTCCATGCGAACGTTCCACGTAACAACGCCGATCGGGTGGTTTCTCGGTGGCTGGCACGCTCGCACGCTCGCACGCCACCGCGCTATCATGCTCGCCGCAAAAACGACGTTAATAGCAGTTATATCGTATTTGCCGGCCGATACGCGATTGCCGGCTCCGCGTAACTTGATTGCCGCCTGTCAACGAACGTCCGACTATATACTCGACGATAATTCGTCCTTGCGATTCTGCCTTTCCACCCCATAACGTCCGTTAACGATATTCGCCATGAATTCGAGGCTTAATCGCGTAGCCACGCGAGTACGATCGTCCGTGCGCTACTTTAGATAAGTAGATATAAACGGTGACACTTATTAACGTTCGTGTCTTTTTTGTTTCATGTCGCGACGCTGTGGACTCGTTACTCGACGATGGATCAACGCAGTATGTAAGTAATTTTATCAATAACTAACTTTCCTCGTATCTCACTAGTTTAGACTAGTAGTGCTACTTCATTTTCGTCGTCGAATCGTGTTACACTTTAAACGCCATAAAATTGACCAAACGGTATCAAACGCAACGACCTAACGGTAATCCATTGATTCACCCTCGACTTTTTAATCATTGGCAAGTCCGAGAGGGTCCCAGGAAATTTAGTAATCTCAGTCGAAGTCGTTAGTTAGCACAAATTACCGAAATTACGTACGTACAGAGTATAGGGTATGGTTTTTCGACTCGATCGCGTTCAGGTATTTCGGTGTTTCCCGGTCTCGATACGCGAAATCGTCCAATTACCAGCGATCGAGGCAGCTTTATCGATCGTAAACGGCCGTATACGCGCGAAGGAAGCGTATACACGAAGCCGCGTTCGTCCAAATGGATTTCGCGTGGCGGAGAGCGAGCACAAAAGGTACGTTCCGATTTCCCGCGGAGAGTAGTTCCGTTTTTACGAAATTCAAGAGAGATAGAGATGCACCGCCGGTCAGCACGTCCGGTAGGTTTCAATTACGCGGCCATGTCGGTCTGTCTGATGTTGCTGCCGCCCTCATTATGTGGAATATGAGCTCGTGCTAGCTGTTCTCTCCCGCCCTTTCGTGTCGGCTACTACTCGCTGATCGATCCACCGATACTCGAATGTTACCAGCCACCTGTACGCGGATCCACATCGGTCGTTATGCCTCTTAATCATCCTCGATGGCCTATGAAAACTGTTCGAATCGAGAGCTACGTCCGTTATTACCGATCTTGTTGCGTTTCGATGAACCGATTTAACGCGTTCTACAACCGACTAATGGCTAGATAAATTTCCACCGGCGATCCACGCTCCGCTAATATTCTTACTTCCTCGACTTTTATCCTTGCTTCCGAAGACTCGCGTACCGGGTATATACCTTTACATATTCCGCGGTTTAACGTCGAAGAAACATTCCACCAAAAAGGATACAAAGGAAGCGAGCTCTCGGCGGCCCCATTCGTCAGCATCCCGCAGAAAGAATGATTACACGTTGAAGAAAACAACGGCTAATTTGACACGTTCCCGGGAGCATATCTCTTTCGTTTCGTGTTATATCTGGTCTCTACCGGGTTCGATCGAGCCTCTACGCGCTGCCACCGATGCTAATAACGGAGCGAACGACCGGGACCCTGTTCCACGGTACTTAACTTCGCGGAACATTTCCTGGTAGCCTGGGTTACACTGAAGTTCGTGTATCGTCGCGCGTAACCTGTCATTATCAGGGATATTGCTTGTATAGCGACACGCACGCATTTTGGAAACGTCTCGTCTGTACGTGATTTATTCATTCGAACGGGTTGGCTCGCGGTTTAACCGCCGCGACATGTCTGATCACCGTCCGCGATCATCTCTGTTCGTTGTTCACGCGCAACTTTGTCCGAATCGAGAACTTATATCGTTCATAGTTCTCGACACGAATCAAGGTTCTCGACAGGAATCAAAATTGATAGACTGTTAAATCTCCATTATATGAAGTGTATGAGGATCGATAGAAAAATGTTTACGTATAGTTAAAAACTTTAATGCTTATCGTCTCACAGAATGTTATTTCGAAGTTGCAAAACACAAGAATTGATTAGCGTTCACATAGGCAAATGTGATCGGAGAGCGCGAATAAAAACAGAACCGCAAAATATCCGATGGAAAGCCGAATGGAGCGGAAGAGCAGCGAATAGTGGGCATTAAATACCGAGGCATTAAACGTTCGTTGCTTAACACGAGGAAAACGTATCGAACGGTAGGATACAAACGTTCCGAGCGTTCCATCGCGAGGCAGAGAGAGAGGCGGTCCGGGTGAAACGCGAGGAACCGTGAACAATTATGGCCAATATGGTGGCGGCGTGGAGTTGGTGGGTGTACAGGTAGAGAGGACGGGCATGGGGCACCATGGACCGCGGACTCTGTGGCCTGTGGTACTGGCCGAGTACGTCGAGGCTTGGGGTTAATACGGTGGCCGGTGATGCACGACCGACGCAGCGCTGTGGCTAGAGCGGCTAACCGCACGCCAGCTGCCCAACGGCGGCTCGAGCTGCCCGCAAAAATCTGTAGCTGACCCCTGTGTGTGACCGTGCTGTTGCACACCGAACCCTTCTAACACGCCCTCCGCCCTTCTACGGTGCCACGCTCCTTCATGTCGCTCCTCCTGTCTTCGATTATTATTTCTTGCGAGCAATTATTTCTCTTCGAGTAATTATGCAAAGAAATAATTTGGGTGAATCAAACTTTGGGTGAGATCGAATTGTATTTTGTTCGAGTATTGACTTTTGTGAGTTTCGAAGGATTCTAGTTCGAATAGAAATTCTGACAAGTGCATCATCCCTTCGCGAATCCCTGATCAGGATACTCTTTCGACACCGAACGAAGTCAATGACGAATTCGTCCTCCTGAGATTCCTCCTCCAGAAATTTTTCAACCCTCGTGTTAATTCCTGTCCCGTTGATCGTCTCGATGAAGATGTCAAGAATGTTAGGTTTAGAGTTGTCGATGAAACGCGTTCGTACGCGATGCGTGTTGCGGTAACGCGGCAAGAAAACGCTCGGCGTCCGTTCGTGTACGCGAGAGCAGGTATCCGGCGGGGCGCGGCGGTGACAAGCGGCGTGCAAGCGGGTGAAATTGAGATTTCACGCACGTCTGCACGGCAGCGAGGTAATTGCGTTAAACGACGCGGTTGGGTATGCGAGTGCTGCGCCCACCTGTGTCAGGCTTCGCTTCGCTGTCTAAATAATAGAATTCTCGGCGCACAGCCGCCACGCGGAGTCGTGAGAGAAAGAGGAGAGGACAAGCGTCATCAACCTCGTCATCTTGCTGCTTAGCCGACACAAAACCCTATGGCGGGCGACTACTAATCAACCGGCGCGGCGTGATTCACAGGACCCGAGTGAAACGGTGCCTCGATACCATCGATTTCCTGGCTTTTTCTCGAATTTTGACTCACTCGACTTCTTTTCGTATGCAACCGCCGGGCTCCTTGCTTTTCTGCCCTCCCAGGTTGCACTTCCGAAAAACCGATGCACGATGACCGGGGAATGCTAACGATCGTCGACCTCCCTCGATGATAACCTTACGTGCTAACATGGTTCTTACATTATTATTTTTTCGAACTTTGAAAAGGAAATTTTTTCCGTTAAAGACTTATATTAAATTTGTAAAAGATTTATGATATACAAAAATAGTGGTAATATCCACACGTCCACGTCTATCGATATCGAACCCTCAAATTTACCAATCGAAGAAAACTTCTTCCTCTGCTTTTCTAAAAATTTATCAGCTCCAGTAGGAATAAACTTTGTTCCCGTCTTGTATTAAAATCTAGATCTAGATCTTGAATGTCTCAGTTTTTGATTCGTCTCGAAAAAGAAGGGAAAGTTCACCTTGAAGACTTCCATCTCCATAAGCTAAAGAAGTTTCAATTGCTTATGAACTACGTTATTCCGCGTATATAGAGATAGTTTTCCGGACGGGATAGTTTTCCAGAATTTTTCGGAGCAAATTGGTTATTCCGCTGTAGCCGTTCACGTTATATTACATTGCAGCCACCAATTTAGTCTTTTCTCGAGACCGAGGGTCTCTATATATCTTTAATACGTTTCTCGTGGGAACGATTCTCACTCGCACGATGCACTTTACCGTAGGCTCGATCGAACCTCAGGGCCCGGACGCATCGCGGTAATTTAATTGACGCAGAGATTGCCACAAAAAGTTCATCTTTACATAATGGTTCTTTTCCTTTCCCAGCGAGACGATCGATCATCGACGTTTCCCATGATTATCTGCATTACCATGCACCATGATCTCTTTTTGGATTTCAAGATGTCAAAGCCTCGTCTTTCTTTCTGCTCCTTTTGCAACATATTTGTTGCACGTGCAAGCGGGTGAAATTGAGATTTCACGCACGTCTGCACGGCAGCGAGGTAATTGCGTTAAACGACGCGGTTGGGTATGCGAGTGCTGCGCCCACCTGTGTCAGGCTTCGCTTCGCTGTCTAAATAATAGAATTCTCGGCGCACAGCCGCCACGCGGAGTCGTGAGAGAAAGAGGAGAGGACAAGCGTCATCAACCTCGTCATCTTGCTGCTTAGCCGACACAAAACCCTATGGCGGGCGACTACTAATCAACCGGCGCGGCGTGATTCACAGGACCCGAGTGAAACGGTGCCTCGATACCATCGATTTCCTGGCTTTTTCTCGAATTTTGACTCACTCGACTTCTTTTCGTATGCAACCGCCGGGCTCCTTGCTTTTCTGCCCTCCCAGGTTGCACTTCCGAAAAACCGATGCACGATGACCGGGGAATGCTAACGATCGTCGACCTCCCTCGATGATAACCTTACGTGCTAACATGGTTCTTACATTATTATTTTTTCGAACTTTGAAAAGGAAATTTTTTCCGTTAAAGACTTATATTAAATTTGTAAAAGATTTATGATATACAAAAATAGTGGTAATATCCACACGTCCACGTCTATCGATATCGAACCCTCAAATTTACCAATCGAAGAAAACTTCTTCCTCTGCTTTTCTAAAAATTTATCAGCTCCAGTAGGAATAAACTTTGTTCCCGTCTTGTATTAAAATCTAGATCTAGATCTTGAATGTCTCAGTTTTTGATTCGTCTCGAAAAAGAAGGGAAAGTTCACCTTGAAGACTTCCATCTCCATAAGCTAAAGAAGTTTCAATTGCTTATGAACTACGTTATTCCGCGTATATAGAGATAGTTTTCCGGACGGGATAGTTTTCCAGAATTTTTCGGAGCAAATTGGTTATTCCGCTGTAGCCGTTCACGTTATATTACATTGCAGCCACCAATTTAGTCTTTTCTCGAGACCGAGGGTCTCTATATATCTTTAATACGTTTCTCGTGGGAACGATTCTCACTCGCACGATGCACTTTACCGTAGGCTCGATCGAACCTCAGGGCCCGGACGCATCGCGGTA